TGTTTGCTTTTTATTTTTACTTAAATATTTTTACATTGTTCATTTTTGTACAATGTTTGATTTCTCTTTCCAGGTATTGTCTCCATAAAATTACCGCCACCAAGACACCCTCTGCTCCCCCCCTCCCATTCTGACCCTTTTCCCTCCTTTTCCCCTCTGAATGTCTCTGATTTACAGTTTGCCTGCTAGTTTTGTCTTTTTTTCCTGATCCCTTGTATGGTTTCCCTATAGCCCTCCTATAAGTGAAATCACCTGATATTTTTCTTTTTCCTTCTGACTTATTTCGCTGAGCATGATCCCTTCTGGTTCCATCCATGTTGCTTCAAATAACATTAGCTAATCTTTTTTATTGCTGAGTAGTATTCCATTGTGTATATGTAATGCATCTTCTTGGTCCAGTCATCCATTTTGGAGCGTTTAGGTTGTTTCCATATTTTAGCTATTATAAACAGTACTGCAATGCACAGCGGAGTGCAGGTTTTCCTTTTGAATTGATGATTTTGTGTCCTTTAGGGTAGATTCCTAGAAGTACAACTGGGTAGCTAGTTTTTAATTAGAGGCACTGTAGTTCAGAAATCAAAAGAACTTCCTTATTTCACAAATGTCTTTTGAGCATCTATGATAGCTGGGTGACTGTGGCAATAAAGGTGAGGAAACTTCATAGGGTCCTTGACCTCCTAGAGCGGGTGAAGAGCTGTTACTCAAATCATAAACAATGAACCTGTAATTGTGAACTTTGATACATCTATGAAGGAAAACAGGAGGTGTTCAGAAAGCAAAATGGGGCGGGGGCGGGGGGCAGTCTAATGAGGAAGATCTCAGGCCTAAAAGTGAAGGATGAAGGATGTACTAGTCACCATGACAACACTGGGACCTCGCTAGAGGCCTGGGATCAGAAGAAGCACTGACCTTTTGAGAAGAAGCAAGACTGAAGTGGAGAGGCACAGAATGGGGACGGCAGAAGAGGAAAGAGAAAGCCAGAGGATCTGGCCAGGCCTCCCCACAAGCTACAGGAGTGAGAGAAGTCACAGGCCCCTGACAATGGGAAGCAACAAAGTTCAAGATGGGCTCTCAGATATGCTATTGACACTGCATCACAAATATCAGCTAAGATAAACATTAATGTCTTCAAAATGAAAGGTATTTTGAAATACACACAGGCACACAAATCAATTTTATATATATCTAGACCTAGATATACATGGGTGTGTGTACATGTGTATCTATACACATGTGAATGTAGACATGTGAATATATATACATAAATATACACATATTTCACCATTTGCCACCTTGTGAAATATGTAAAAGCACTCCTAAAATGACTACCTCTTTAGATAGCTGATTTTCCAAAAATGGCAACAATAAAGCCTCCCATCACGTGTGCTCTCCCAACACTCCCCAATGAAATAAGTGGTAGCACCTATGTCTCCTCTCCTAGAAAATGGGCTGATATCTGATACCAGTGAGCGCAGAGGTGAAGACATAAAATGTCATGTACTTCCACCTTCTCCTCTGGGAACCCACCTACCACTCTCTGGGGAAGCCCAAACACAGGCACCTGGAAAGGTCACATGCAGGTGTTACCCCACTAAGGGGAGAGTCAGCAGCTGGCACCCCAAACATGCAAGTGGCACTGCCTCCAGATGACTCCACACCCAGCTGTCAAGTCACCCAGCCTTTCGATCCCTGCAGCTGAGGCCACCATACATAATGGAGCAGAGAAAAGTCATTCCGACTATGTCCTGCCCCGATCCCTGATGCCAAGTATCCATAAACAAAAATATAAAATAATTGTTTAACACCACTGAGTTTGGGGAGGTATGTTATGCAGCAACAGAAACTGGGACAGGAAGAATCTCAAGGTTTATATAAATGTACAAGTATATCTTTGCAAACACATATATAGGTATAATTTTTCTTATTCTCCTCCCTAGGCGCCCTCCAGAAGGGATGTCTATAATTACTCCTGAGTTAGAACCCCTGGGCTTTATCCACACTACTTCTGAGAAAAAATGACCAGATTCTTTGCTTCAAAGAAAAATTAAACACTTTTCAACCACTCAAAACATACAAAAGTAACCCTTTCTCACTAAAAAAAAAAAAAAAAAAAAAAAAAGACAACCCTCCTTAGCAAGTCTGACACCTTATTTCAATTGGCTTTGAAACAAGAGATCAAAAATGAGATCTTCATTGGCATCAACAAGCACCCAAGTCTTTTTTCTTTCTGCAGCTGAAGTCTTAAAACTCTGCAAAGAGGAATGCGTGTAGATTAAATCAGGCAGTGTCTATAAAGTGTGCTAAGCATAGGACCGGGAACTGAACAGCCCACCAAATCCTGATTATCATTGCTTTTGGTGTTAGAATTAACATTTCTCTTGATTCCAGTGCTAAGCCTTTCTGACCTAAATTCAACACCACCAGTGTCCCACCTCACAGAAAAAAATCTATATAGAGTTTGATGAGACATCAAGGAAGGGATCTCAGATTCCACACGATTAGAAATGTTGAGCAGTGTTGTGCAACATAACTCTCACGCATCTCTATTTTGGTTTGATAAAAGAAGTCCTTTTTATTAAACAAAAGAAAAGGGAGCGAGAGAGAAAAGAAAAATCAATAAAATTAGAAAACAAGATTCCTGGGAAGCTACACTGAATCACTCCAAGGCTTTGAAGGTGAATAATATTATTACCTTTGATCATTATGAAGGCACCTCCTATGTGGTTATATAAATATTACAATGCTTCTTCCACACAGTGACATGAATACCAGGTTACAAGAGGTGAGAACAAAGCGCAGGTCACCTAGAGTTGTTTTTTTTCTCTTTACTCCTCTATTGCTGTGTGACCTTAAGGAATCTCTTAGCCTCTCTTAAGTCCAGGTGTCTTTAAAACAAGTCTAAATTTCAAACTTTGTGTCCACCCTAAAAGGACTCTCAAGCAGAGTAGCCCCCAAGTTTCGAAGGTGAATTCCATTACTCACAAGCTTAAGTATGCTGAATGACAACCCACTCCAACAAAATAATCAACTGTAGATTCACACACATTAATGAATGTCTCAAAAAACATCTCAAAAAACTCATACCTTGCTGCAAAATATACTTGTGTATCACCTAGTGAAATCTTCGATGTCTAATGAAAGAAATGGTAATTTGGGACAGAAAAACAACTAGTTGTGCCATTTGGGAGTTGGATGGCAACCCCTTTAACACTGTTCACCATTACATTCAGTTGCTGGGCAGGAGGGGGGATCTTCTTAAGCCATACATTCGTTTGCAAGAGGAGGTAGAAAGGGAGAGAGAGGAAGACAGAGAGTATGAATAGTAGGAAGGAGAAAGAGAAACCTGGGGCGAAATAGGGAAAGGGCTGTGCATTGGAACTAAATCGGAGTCAATGACACCTGAACAGAAATGTCAGTGACCAGGAAACCATTTCAAAATGACATTTTCATCACCAGGTTTCAAATATGCTTAGTAGCCAGCACTTCTTTCCTCTAAATAGCCCTGCTTTCTTGGAATCTAGGCAACCAATAATGGATCTGACTGTACTGTCACATTCTCTATCCAGACAATAATGTCCTTTAGATCCTGGGCAGAGGTGGAAACTTCACTGTGACTCACAGAACCCCAATAGCAGGAAAAATGGCTGGTATGTAACTGACTTGGAATGGCCCTTTCCAGGGGAGGTATGAAGTACTGACTGGCTTTGCGTTTACAGAAATTGGGAATATTTAAAAGAGCTTAGTGAAAATCCTTTCTCTTCTTGAGACTCCATCAGTAGCTGATATCTGACTGCCCTTGGAGAGAGGACCCGCCGACCTCACCCCAACAGTCACCTTCCTGATGTCCACCTACCTCTCCCAGACATCTGTGATTCAGAGCAATGGAGAGCAAGTGAGTCTAACAGTTTCATTGACGACCAGGATAAACTCTCTCATATTACCATATATGTTGAAGTCTGTCAAGAGGTCTGCTAAGATCTGAACCTGGACCAACCATCTGATTTTACCAACAAGCACTAGTCCAACCCATGTGCAGGAGTTCCCTTTTAAACTGAAGGCACCTTTAAAAACATTTACCATCACTGTCAAAATGCCTTTATTGTGCACTTCATGACATCTTTCATTAAAGGCGCATCTACCTTCACACCAAAGCACATATTCACAACGGCTTATTCTCACAACCGTTTACTCGGCTGTTTCCCCATAAATTGAGCCGCTTAGATCTGAGGGTATAAAACCATTTCACATCTGTTATTCTTCCATATCGCTCCTTGTTTTTTAGACAGTTGCACTCCCAAGATCCAAATTGTTTTCAGAACGGGCAACTGTTCTAATCGCATTTCTCCACAAGCTCAAGAAAGGACGAGGGCAAAGATAACACAGAAGTTGTAGGTTAAAGGGTGAACCCAGTCCAGGGCACCCCGATGGGAAGTACAGTCCAAATCATTTCTTCCAAAGCTGCGAGTCGGTAATTTTCCCAGTGAGCGATCAGTTTAAGAAAACAAATCGTTTCCTAACCAAGTGGCCAATACTTTTTTCCTAGAGTAAGTTTCCAGCACCTGTTCTGGAAGGCTGCTACGGCGCTTTCTACCTGGTTCATCCCCCCTGTCCTGCAAGCAGAACATATGAAGTACGTGTTCGTGCCCTCAACAAGCCACAGGTTACAAGTGGCCGGTTACCTGTACAGGTACTGAATCTTAAAAGGACAACCTGCCCACCGGCTTTGGGGTCCTGGCTTCTGGTAACAGTCCCCAAGCTGCCACCCCCAGCCCCTCTAGCTTGTGGACAAGAAGGGCAGCGTCGAGAGACACAGGTAAGGGTTCCTGGAGTGGCCGGGAGCCCCAGGCAACAGCTGCTTCTCCACTGAGCGGTCCTGGCCTTCAGGGCGCCCTCCTCCCGAGCCCCTTCAAGTGGGGGAATCGTCAAGCCCGTTCGCCCGGTGCCCAGTCCAGGGACCCCGGAGCCGCAGCGCCCACTCGGGGCCGGCAGGGCGCACTCACCATTACTCGCTTGCATGCTCGCCAGCGACCAGAGCAGCAGCGCCACCAAGGCCAGAAAGCAGAGCTGGCTCAGCAGAAGGTCCCTCCGGCGGCAACGGCGACGCTCGCGTTCCTCCTCTTCGGGCGACGGCATC